TAATCCCTATGAATTTCATAGCGTGGTGCCTGACACATGCTTTCTGCCCAATAACCGCTAGTAGCTATTGTTGTTGTTGAAGGTGAGACTTCTCTTCAGTTAGTTGTTTGGATTATAAAAGATTATTAAAAGATTTATTAGTAAGAAACAAGAAAAGAGCCCTGAGTGAAAAGAGTTCTGTGGGGTTTTTTTAGTAGCTGTTAGCCATTCTTGCCTGCTCTTACATGATGCCCATTGAGAATGGGACACATTGATACTATGCTCATAAATGAAAATATGCCTTTATTTTGGTGTGTGTGAAATTGAAGCCAGAATACCAAATGAAATTTCTCTTTTTTTAAAGTATGTATCTGATAATCACGTAAACCGTATTTATTATAGAAAAGCAATATGCAAAAGCTTTTCAAAAATAGACCTATAATCTCAGGGATAACCACCTAAAAAGTTTTTTGACATACATGCTTCCAGATTTTTTTCCAAGTGTGAATGATTTTAGGTTACAGTTTGCTTTGACTGCTTTTTAGGTTTGTGCCCTAACTTTGACACTTGTGCATTATAAATTGTTTTTAGTTATTTTCAAAGTAATATTTATTTATGATTTTAAAAGATCTAATTATTTGCTTTGAACTCCTTTTTGGTTTGTACCTAGGTGTCAATACTTACATATTTTTTTAAATCTCAGCATGAATCCAAAATTATAAGCTCAGTATTCTTGGTTGCTTTCCATTTTGGAAGACTTAAAGAAAGCAGTCCTGTCCCCTACCCTCCCCAGTATTCCACCCATGCCTTCCGTGTCACGTGTTCAAGCCACAAGGGGGAAGAAAGTCCAGTGCATCCATTTCTTGCACTCTCTCTCTCTCCCTCTGTCTCCAGTCTGTCTGTCTGCCAGTCCCCCTCCATGCACGTACACAGTCACCCATGTCTGTCTCTCTCTGTCTCTGCTTTGTTTTCCCCTGTATCTGTATTTGTCTGTCTCTTGGTCTGCCTAACCATCTCTCCTTCTTGCTGGAGCCATTCAAAGTGCCCTCCTCATTCAGGGACAGAATGTGCTTTCTCTTGGGCTGGGGCCAGACCCTGGAGAGAGGAGTGCTTTGAAAACTCAACTTGGACTCCTCACCAAAGCACATTGCAGTTGTGCTTAGCATCTGGCCACCAGTTTGTCCACTTAATATAAGGTCCCTAACCCTACCGGTAACTTGCCCATTTCTCTTTTGATCTAAGAACAAACACTTTTTTTAAGCTGGAAACACAGTTTAAAATCTTAAGAAAAATAAGGACCCACAGTGAAAGAATGAGGAGAGTCCAACCCAACTATAAATTTGGTTTGTCCTCTTTATTGTTTCATAACGGGAAAGCCAGCTGCCATCCTTTCCAGGAAATAAGTTACCAGACCATAACGTGAAGGAACAACTCAATTCAGCAGCGTGACAAGGATTTGAGCTGGCACTTTTCAGCCAGAATCTGAGTTACATACACATGCGCCTGCACACATACACAGTTTCAAGTTTTAGTGAATGAAAGAAATTCACATGATAGATTGCCATTCTTAGTTTTTAAATAGCTTTTATTGTTGAAGTATAAAATACAATTTTTTTTTAAATTTTATTGATACATCAGCGAATTTTTAATGTTAGGAAGCTTTGAATCTTGATTTTCTTGTGTGAAATCCCATATCAAGAGTTAACAGATAAGAAGCATTTAACTGAAGAAAACGGGGAGAGTGGGCTATGATGGGAATAGAAAATTGAAAGGACAAGCTTAAAGTTACAGTCAGTTCTGCTGTAAGACAACACTCATTCCTAAAGTATTGCTGCACTTTGCAAAATTATGCAATAAAAACCATATGAGACCCATTGGGAAAATGTGGTTATGGGCACAACACTCAAAGCTGCATCAATGACACAAAGAAAAAGATAGGAACCTAACAAAAGTGTTAGCACAGTTTTACATAGATTAAAGAGTTAAATACGTAACTACAAGAATAAATAGTGACAGTTACCTTGAAGACAACCTGACATTTGCTTCTTGAAGTAGATGTTGGAAGGGTTGCAGCTTGTGAGCTATTGTGACGTGGTAGAAGGAGGGTTATCTGAAGTAGAGAGAAAGTTGTAGCATCGGATGTGGATGGGGTGGCTTCTAACATCCGGGGTGACCTGGGGCGGATGGTGGATTTTGGGGGGGTGGGAGTTGTTTTGTGTTTTCCCACGTGGCTCAGCTCAGCTGGGCATAGTTTTCTGCATTCACCTAGTGCTTCTTGCAGGTGAAATCTTGTAAAAAGCAGATGCAAAATTTCATTACATTCGAATTGTTCCTTAGTATATCAGTGACTTTGGAGTAAGTAATGTTCTCAAAACAAGCATTGTAGTAGAACTGACTGCATTTAACTAGGTTGAGAATTTTCTTTATATCATTTGATATCAAGAGAAATACATCACGTTTACTCTGAGACACTGCTTGCGAATTCTGATACCCATTGAGTAGAAAAAGGAGTATATTTCTGAGAAGTCAAAGTTCTAGTTGGAGTTTTTTCCCCTTCTTTATGCTGCAGACATGATAGTATTCCTTTAGGACGCTGCCATCAGGGGTACATAAGATGATTTTTATGGATGAACATTTTAATGGTAATATTTAATTATTTTAATGTATATCCAAATATGTATATTATATAAAGTTACTAAATATATGTATAAGACAAGCTTATCAAACCTATTGTTTCAGAGAAAATATTGTTTTGGAAAAATCTCTCAACTGAGGGTGGTACCCTGCTTCACACTGGGCCGTCTGAAACTGGTTTGAGGGTAGTTTCAGGTTGCCCCTGGCAGAGGGGCACCATTGGTGATTAAGGGGTAGGGACCAGGAATTCCAATTATCCTGACATCCCGTACGTGATTTGTCCTGTGCAAAATACCAGTGATGCCCCCATGAAAGACTGGTTAATATTAGATTAAAGAGGAGGGAACAGTAGAGTTGATAATTTAACTTAAAATGTTGAGTAAAAAATAGTATTTTATGTGGCTTTGGTAAGAATGATGAAAACAGCCTGCAGTTGTTGGAAGCTTGGGAAACACTGGTTGAGGACAAGTAGTAGTGGTGAGCTTTATTTACCGAACCCTCATATATAGTGCCATGTGCCAGGTGGTGTTCTCGGTGTTATACAAATGTTAACTTATTCAGCCATGGTTAATGGTTCTTGAGGCATTAGCCTAGTCTAAGGGAGACTCTCAACCTTGGCTGCACAGTAGAATCATACAGGGGAGCTTGTAAAAGTCTAGATGGCCGGGCCACACCCCAAACCAATTAAATCAGAATCTCTGAGGGCATCGGTATTTTTTAAGCTCTTTAGGTTATGCCAGTGTGTAACTAAGTGTGCTGGTTTAGGGCCATTTGAAAATCACTCCTCTTCACAAGAAAAGCTATACTGATTGTGCACATGTTAATTGACAGCCTGCTCTGTGCCGTGCCTTACAGGGGCAGGTGACTGAGACATGACTCAGGGAAGCTCGCCCATCCAAGGCAGGCAGCAGAACTGGAAACAGATTATTATAGTCCTGGCTGACAAGTGCTGATACTTGGAAGTATATTCAGAATGTTTGGGGATCACAGAGAAGAGAGAAACTAAATTTAAAAACCTCAGATGCCAAATTTGGAAAATTATTAAACTTAGTTTTCCTGTTCTTACACACAACTTTCATATCAAGAAAAAAAAGCAACAGGCACTTATAAATCACTATCAATTTAGCCTTCCTAACTTGGTTGTGGCCTTTATGTGGTCCAGTTAGAGAATTTGGATTTTGTCTATAGGTAGCATAATAATTTTGTCCTGGTATAGAGCAGGTTCTTAAGGACCTCATAAAGCATCATTGAACTAATGTCCTTTGGAAATAAGTCATCACAGCTTCACAGAGAGGCTCGGGACTGGTATAAAAAGACCTTTAGAAACAAACCATCGAGGTGATACTTGTCGTTGGTAATTCTAATATGCTTAATTTTTTAAATACTCATATAGCTTTCATATTGTGATAAGTAATTTTTGGATCACATACATTTTAAAGCTTAGAGTTAAGCAAATGTGTCATTTTCAATTATAAGTTTAATTAAAGGCAGCCACTAAGCTATCATCACAAGATAATTAAGCAGATAAAGTTACTGAGTAATTTGCTTGTTTCTAATGGTAACATTCTTCAAGAGCTCTCGATTTATTTAGTATGGATTGCCTCACTCTGAGAAAACCTGATTCTCCAGTGGGTAGACTTATTTTCAGTTAAACCCGTGTAGTCTGTACTTAACCACGAATTACTTCCTGGTTTAAAAAACAGGCGTAGCTATTTGTGGTATTTTTGTCTTGCGCCTTTGGCATCTTAGTGGCATGAACCAGAAGTTATGCCATCTGTAGTTAAGGGAGATTATTTAAAAAAGAGAGTGAAATGATTCGCTGGAAAATTTCAGCACAAATTCTTTAGGAACGATAAGATAACCCTAGAAACATTCTTATTTAATGTCATATGCTGGTGGGCAGTGACAGAAAAAAAATGAAAGTACAACTTGTTTCCTAACATTCTGCTATTTTGGAAATTAGAGACATACTATGCTAGAAAGGAAGACAGAATTCCATGCGGTGTCAATTAGCAGAGCTCTGCAGATGAATGAATAATTTTCCTTTCTCTGACTGCAAGTTGGAGCCAGTGAGGTTCATTTCTAGTATGCAAAACCCAATCTTCTCAGGTTTAGAATGGTTGCTTAATTTCTTAATGGCTATCTATGTATGATAAACCTCTTTATGCTGAGATGTTTCCTAAGCAGAAGGACCAGTTCCTAGACTCCTAAATAAGTCTGTGAGGCCTAGATAAGCCATTTCTGGAAGTTGCTGAGTTTAATATATTTTCACTTAGTGATGCATGTTTGAACCTGAATATTGATTTCAGGGGACTCTTCCAGGGTTCCATTGGAGACTTGCCTGACACACGATGTCTCTCTTTTTTTCTCTTTGTTTTCCTTTTCAGAAAGAAGACATAGCTCATCCAGCAAGCCTTCTTTGACCGTTCCTCCCACTTCAGTATTTTCCTTCTTCCCTTCTCTGTCCAAAAGCAAAGGAGGCAGTGGAAGTGGAAGCAGCCGTTCTTCCAGTGGAGGTGTTCTAAGCGCATCCTCATTAAGTTCCAAGTTGTTGAAATCGCCCAAAGAGAAACTGCAGCTCAGGGGGAACACCAGGCCAATGCATCCCATTCAACAAAGTAGAGTCCCCCATGGTAGAATGTGAGTATGGCCAAGAGGGTTCTTAAAGCTTACCTGCTGGCAGTGGAGCTGTGTACACCAGTAGCGTCTGAGAGTATCTGTGAATAATGTGAAAGGGAGCTCACTTTGGAAAAGTCAAACACGTGCTGTTGTTTCCTTTGTTTTTCTGTCATATCTTGGGAGACTTGACAGAGTAGTAATAGCAATAATAATAAGGTTAATAATACTTATTGATCCTATATTGTATGCAGCTATTGATAGCTCCCTTTATAGAGAGTATTGTCATTTAATTATCACAACAATCCTATGAAATAGATTTTGTTGTTATTTCTATTTTCCAGATAAGAAGAAGGAAGCGTAAGGGGGTTGAGCTATAGCCAAGGAGCCCTCAAGTCAAAGAGACCTGGGTTCAAATTCCACCTCTGTCACTTCCTTGCTGCAGGGCCTTAGACAAGGCATTGTTTCTCTCGGAGTCTAAGAATTGCAGTCACTGTGCAGGGTTATTGGGAGAAGTAGAGTTAATATATTAGAGTCAAGCACCTAGCATAATGTCTGGCCCACAGGAGACAGTAAATGAATGGATGCTGGTGCTTCTGCTGCTGCTGTTGATAATAGTACAAATAAAAAGGTGAAGAGATTCCTAAGTGCTGTTCTAGGATTTTCTGAGGCCTGCAAAGCAAATAGGAAAGCAATGCTTCCTCCCTCCAGTCTTGGTTCCCATCACAGCAGTGATGAGGGAAGACTGGAAGAAGTTCACACCCGCTAGGCAAGGCTTTGGCAAGTTTCCACGGGAGATCTGTAAGTTGGCAGGCTTCTTGTGGTCACATGAGGGAGCAGCCATGCACTCCCATAGAAACATATCTTGCCTCGTCATGGCATCCCTCAGCCTTGGTGGCGGGTGACTTTCCCTGGCCTACCTCCCTTTTGGAGAGTATGCCACACATCTCAGTCCCAAGGTCTGATAACCTGGTTAATCTCAGGGCAGCATCCAGCACCTGCTACTGCTCAAGGACCTTGCCAGCTGGGAGAGGCCATGGCATCTTGCAGTATCTCTGCTGCTGTCAGCCTGTCCCAGGTTCCAGGTACAGCTGTTTAGGGCTGTTTGTCCTGGTTGCTAAGCCTCCAGCTTCTGCTCATCTGTCAGAAGTGCAAGTACAGCAAACTTGGCTTTCATTCCTGGAGCTGTCTGAAAGCCAAAGAAAATGCCAGTGCAGTGTGTAAGTCACTCGCCAGCTTAACAGCTGTTAGAGCACTGAGTCCACTGAACAAAGTTTATAAAACCTCATCAATCCGAGTCTTCTTTATTTGGAGCCTGGCTTTAGAGGAGGACCAGGCCAACTGTTAGCTTTTGTACCAACATTTGCCACCCAAATGATAGTGTCAGTAAGATTCCAAGAGAAATCAGTTCTTTGTTAGTGACACAGGTATTCAGTGCTCACCAGCTGTGTGCCAGGCACTTATATTCCACGCTCCTATCGTGGAAACCTTTTCAGGGCCAGGAGATTATCACTTCAGTGACACATCATATGCTAATTAAACATTGGTCTTCCTCACTGACAGAAGCAGAGAGCCTCTTCTTGAAGATGTATTGTTAGGCTCATTTGAGTTCTTATAGGTCCTTAGTGACATTTCTTGGAAATATTCTCTAATTCCAGTTGTTCTTTTTTCTGCTCAGTTTACGTTTTGGTGAATCCTTTCTTAAACGGTTCCTTTTTTTTTTTTTAAAGATTTTATTTTTCCTTTTTCTCCCCAAAGCCCCCCAGTACATAGTTGTGTATTTTTAGTTGTGAGTCCTTCCAGTTGTGGCATGTGGGATGCTGCCTCAACATGGTCTGATGAGCGGTGCCATGTCTGCGCCCAGGATTCGAAGCAGGGAAACCCTGGGCCGCTGAAGCAGAGCTCACGAGCTTAACCACTCGGCTATGGGGCCGGCACCGTCTTAAACAGTTCTTGAAAGATATTCTCTCAAGGTCCTACAGCTTGTCTTTGGTTCTCTTAGACCTTCTTGTATTTTGCTTCTTGTAGCAGTTGCATTGGGTATCAGGTCTAGATCTCCCATAGGCTCATGTGTAAGATTGTTCTGGAATGAAAGACTAGGTAAATTTGATGGTTCACTGGAGTTTTTTGCCCACCAGAAGGGTTTATAGACTGAATAAATGTGAACTTTACTGAGTTTTCTGGATAATCCTAACAAATATTCATAAGATGCCTTTGGGAGCCTACCTCTGTGCAGTGTACGGGTAGACCCAGGTTCTGCTTTCATCCGTCTGGCCCACCATTCACCTGGGGCTGCTGGGGCGCTCAGGTGCTGGTATTCTCACTTTCCCCACAACAGCATGACGCCCTCTGTCAAAGTGGAAAAGATTCATCCGAAGATGGATGGCACACTACTGAAATCTGCGGTGGGGCCAACCTGTCCTGCTACTGTGAGTTCCTCAGTCAAGCCTGGCCTTAACTGCCCCTCAATACCAAAGCCACCCTTGCCTTCACCTGGACAGATTCTGAATGGCAAAGGGCTTCCTGCACCGCCCACTCTGGAAAAGAAGTCTGAAGATAATTCCAGTAACAGGAAATTTTTAAATAAGAGATTATCAGGTAACTTCACATTTTCTCTCTTAATGCTTCTCTGTATATTAATTGGGGATTCACAGGGGAGCACATGAATTGCTATCTACAAGTTCTCTTTTTAAAACTGGACAACTTCAGCTTTAGGAGGAAATTCCTTAATCGGTATGCTAGACCTCTTCACTCTTGATTTTAAAGTGCATGTGCGTATGTAAGTAATGTAGAAATAACTTTCTAGTGGTATATTTCTGAATGGAGTAAAGCAGTAATGCTGACGAAAACAATTTCTTTCCTGTCATCTGATGGCAGTAGTCCCCCACTCTCTTAGTGATGTCACTACTTCTCTGCATTGCTCACATGTTATATATTTTATATGTATTGATAATATGGTAGATTTTATTCAAGTTATAATTTGTTTTGAGATTTCTTCCATTTTCTTATTTACAAAATAAATGAAAGAGTGGTGAGCCTGTTGTCACATCTGTGTGCTCTTGACAGAAAGAGAGTTCGATCCTGACATACACTGTGGGGTCATTGATCTCGACACCAAGAAGCCCTGCACCCGGTCTTTGACATGCAAGGTAGGTGGCCTCCTGGAAAGAGCTGAATATTCTGGTAAGCACAGGGAACTGGAATTGTAAAGGAGGGAATAACTTGGTTTTGGTGAAAAAAGTCTCAAGTTCAGAAAATATAAAGTCTGTTACTATAAACTGCAATCTTAGGCGAGGTTTTATTTCCAATAAGCAGTGTTGTATCCAGGGACTAGTGTTCTTTCCTAATCAGTCTATTATTTTCAAAAGACTTTTAATATTTCTTCGGAGAAGTTTGAGAAGCTGCCCTTTACTGTGGTTTAAATTGTACTGACTTAGAACAAGTTCACAAATTTCCTTTGCTTATATATGAATATTCTCAAGATGTTTGTGTAATCTGTGGTTCTTAAATTTTAAAGAGCTCCTCTAAAAAAAGCTGACTTTGAAATTTGAAGCCTTGTTTTTAAGAAGATACTAAATAACTTGCAATCTGATTTATATATAAGTGAAGAAAATGTAATGATCCTCCTTTCTGTCCTGAGATTCTCCTTTAAAATGCCAGTATGTTAATAAGAAGGTGGTGTTTTGCTGTAAAATAAGGCTTGTTGATGTTGGGGTGGCGTCGGTGGACCCTCTACATAAATGAGTATATATGTTTATGTGCATTTCTCTGGAGAGTGTCCCTGACTGCCCTTCAGAAGGGTTCAAGAATTATTAAGAATCATTATTTTGAAGTATGCGTTTTAAAAACCCTTGTTTGGGAAGAGAGAATAAAAATTATAAAAATTAGTATTGTCTCCTAAAAATTAATAAAATTGTTCATGTATTATTTAATTTTAATTTTTTTTTGATTGGCACCTGAGCTAACATCTGTTGCCAATCTTCTTTTTTTCCCCCCTTTTTTCTTCTTTTTCCCTAAAGCCCCCCAGTATGTAGTTGTATATTCTAGTTGTAGGTCCTTCTGGTTGTGCTCTGTGGGACCCTGCCTCAGCATGGCCTGATGAGCGGTGCCATATCCACGCCCAGGATCTGAACTGGCGAAACCCTGGGCCGCCGAAGGACAGCACACAAACTTAACCACTCGGCCACAGGGCTGGCCCCCTGGTGTATTATTTTAAATTTTACTGAAGATTGCGTTTGAATAACGGACGTTGGGCCCCACTCCAGCCCCTAAACAGTGGAGGGATGTTACAATCTTGAGAAATGGGAAATGTTATTTTAATTTAAATCTCTAATTTAGTTTTAGTGTGTAGATTTTCTTCAACAGTGGTTCTGAATCTTTTGGGGAAAGGTTTAGTGGAGACCACCTTTAAATATCTAATTTTTTTAAAAATCATAATCCTCAGAGGAAAAAACATATATGCACATACGTATTCTGAATTTTGCATTTTATCTCAGGGGTTGACGGATATTCCCACCTCAATCCCACCCTTGAATCTCTTATGTTAAAAACTCCTATCCCAGAACAGATTGCTTTTGTTTTCCATAGTATTAATTGAACACATATAGTGGTATGTCATTGTTGTTTGAAGATAGACATTGGAGCTCTGTAGAATTCTGTCCACTGCAGCTGCCTCTAAGGGAACTTGTGAAAGCATGCCTCAGCCCTGCTACACATCCTGCTCAGAACTTGCCGTCCTCCCTCTGCTCTCTTCCTGCCTACCTGACTCTCAGTAACATGGGTTTCTCGGTATTACGGTACCTATGGTCAATGAAGGATGCTTGCTCTATCTGAGATGCTCTTTTTTACTCTATGAGGCATGCTGATGAACCAAAAGCTTTGTCAACCCAGAATCTGCAAGGAGTCTGACTAGTCTTCTTCCCGAACCTTTATTGGTGGGTGAACTGACTTTATGTGGATCCTGCATTTTTCTCCCATCTTCCTTTTCACATTGTCTGTGCTCTCCATGTGTTCTATTAAGGGTGTCATGATTGCCTGTGGCATGGTGCTAAACCTGTCATCCCATTAATACATTTCCTCAGGCCTGGCGCCATGAGTTCAGCATAAAACTGGCGGAAAAAGCAGCTCTCAGCAGGCCTGCCCTCTCAGAGAATGAGCTTCCGTTCTTCCCGTGTTCTGTTTGTGCTTCTCGCTTTTCCTGTCTCCACTGTGGCCTGAATCTCTTAAGCTGTAGAGAGCTAAACACTCTCTAGTGCCCCTGCGTAATGTCCCCCAGGTTCCTGCCCAGGTCTCTCCTGTCTTAGACTTAGAACGTTTTCCATTCTCTTCACTTTTAGGGGTCTGCTGCTGCCCATTCCTGTCACTCCTTCCCTATCGTGTGCCTGCCACCCTCACTGTCCCCTCCTCATCTGTCTAATGTCCTGTTTGATGTCCTCTGTGCCTTCCATTGCAGATGGCTTTTGACTCTGGTAACCTTGTCCTTTCAGTCATTTTAGAAATTTTTACTGCATACATCTGTGAGCACAGGCCTCATTCCAGGTCCCAGAGGATACAGGCTTTAACAAAATCAAGGCGTGATCCCAACTCTGTGGAGCTTTTGCAGTCTAGAGAAAGAGATGGAGATTAATCTGATAATCACTCAAATAAGGATAAATTAGCACTGATGACTAATGAAAAGGAGGGAGGCCTGTGTTAGGACAGCCTTCAGTTGGGGGATTGGGCCGGGGAAGGCTACTTTGCCATAAAAATACTGGGCTGAAATCCATACGATTTATCCGGGCAAAGGAGTGGGAGAGGTAGAGGAAACAACATGTGTGGAGGCTCTGTGACAGGGCAGAACAGATACCTTAGAGTCTGAAAGGCCTCCAGGAGGCTGAACAAGAGGAGGAGGAGGCACTTGGTACCAAAGGAGCAGGGAGCATGGGAGTTAGAATGTGCAGGGCCCAGAAGCCTAGTTACATAGTCCTTATCCTGTGAGCCTTGGGCAGCAATTGAAGAGTTCTGACTGGGCAGGGGGCCTCAGATCTGTGTTTGGAAGGTTCTTCAGAGGTCAGTGGAAATCCTGCTTACTCTTCAGGCTGAGCTGGGAAAATACGTAGAGTCTCTGCCTACTTTCTTCACTTGGATTTGCATGCTAAGCTCAGGGGACATTCAAAGATGAAGAGAGGCTTCTACATTTGTCTGGAGAGAGGGGCAGGGGCACTGGTAGCATTCTACGTGCATTGCTTTATTCAACAGGTATTGGAGGACCATTCTTTTTATATACTTTCTGTTTGAAGCATTTATTGTGTGCCGGGTGCTGGTACAGCACTGAATGAAACAAAATGTTTTGTCTCCATGTAGGTTTCTTGTGCATATGTTACATATTAAAGAAAATTAAGTAAAAATTTGAAAAGAAGCTAAGCACATTTATCTACGTAACTGTGCCACGGTAGAGTTTAGGTGGGCATACTTTGCAATGTGTCTAGTAAGGAGATAGGTGATGTTACTGAATTTCAAAAGGATGTTAGAAGCCTGCTCTTAAAACCCGTTAGGGGCTGGCCCAGTGGTGCAGCGGTTAAGTTCGCACATTCCGCTTCTTGGTGGCCCAGGGTTTGCCGGTTCCGATCCTGGGTGCGGACATGGCACCGCTTGGCAAGCCATGCTGTGGTTGGCGTCCTACATAGAAAGTAGAGGAAGATGGGCACGGATGTTAGTTCAGGGCCAGGTTTCCTCAGCGAAAAAGAGGAGGACTGGCAGTAGTTAGCTCTGGGCTAATCTTCCTCAAAAAAAAAAAAAACCCTTAAATTGTAGCAAACATGTAAACTTGTAGTGTCATACATTGGTATAATGTGCAGGAACATGAACACACAGAAAGTACTGTTTGCAATATTTTGTAACATAAAAGAGAGAAGGAACTGTGTAGATGAATTCACTTATATTTCGGATATGTGATGGGGGCCCACTGTAGTTAGTGTCTCCTTGCATTTTTTATAGACTGAGACCCCAGCACTGTGGAATGGTCAGGGTAACTTGATTTTATCTTCTGCTAGGAATAATATTAGCCTCAGTGAGCCTTAAAAATCCAAACCAGCAATTATCAAGTGCATTGGGATTATAGACATTTTCTTATAAGATGTGCTTCAACCACAGGTTTATATTAGTTGCCTTGAAAAGCACTGTTCTAATTTGACCTTTCTTTTTCTCAGTGTGCTCATTTCCTAATTCTGAAATTAGACATTGTCTTAAGATCCAGGAGTGCTGTCTGTCCCGTTTTCTTGATTTCCGCAGTAAGGGTCTGTTTATTGGAGTTCCCTCTCTGCTTCATGTCTCTCCCTGTTCATAGCCTTCCTTCCCTCGGCCGTGTGTTCTTTACTTCTCTCAGGCCCTCCTTGGCCATAGCAGTCCTTGTCTCCAGGATTCCCTCAGCCCCTTTCTCTCTTTACATGGCACCTTCACTGGAAGAGAGAGAAACCATTGTGTGTAATTTTTAGTCTCTGGCAGTTACTGAAAGAAGACTTTCTAATACATAATTTTATGGAATAAATGTTTCTTCCCTTTTAACATTCAAACCTCTAAACAGCCAAAAGAAGACTCAAAACATGAGTACCTATCACCTGTTTGTTTCTACCGTTTGTCGCTTAGTTACAGACTGAGTGCCACCCCTAACATTCCTTCTTTCTTCTGGTGGAAATAGCATCTCCAAATTCTCATACATTTGGAGCCTGGAATAGGTGCTTCTAGCTAAAGAAAAGAGATCTTCCTCATGCTTTTTAGCTTATCAAATGCTGAGCAGCTTTTGACTATGCTAATTGTCCAGACTGCTATTTTTATTGGGAATGGTGTTTTTGGATATATGACAGAGAAAAAATATTCTTGAGATTCCTCAGTTTCTGTATTTTTTTGGTCCATAGACACATTCCTTAATCCAGCGGAGGGCTGTCCAGGGTAGAAGAAAACGATTTGATGTGTTATTAGCCGAGCACAAAAACAAAACCAGGGAAAAGGAATCGATTCGCCATCTGGATTCTCAGCAACCAACGCAGCCTCTCAGGGACCCGCATCCCACCCCTCCTAGAACTTCACAGGAGCCACACCAAAACTCTCATGGAGTGATTCCTTCCGAATCAAAGCCTTTCGTAGCTAGTAAACCTAAACCTCACACCCCCAGTCTTCCAAGGTAAGCCAAGTCCTCCAGGTCTTTCTCCCTCCAGAAAGCAGACTTGCAGACACTGTAAAAGCCCAGTGCAGTCATGATGTGAAGGAATGAACATCAGGCTCACTATGGAGATTTCTTGTTTTTTAGAGATATTTTTAAATTGGGTTTTACTGTAAGAAAAAAAAATGTTGAGTTCATCAGTACGTTTCAGCCAAGGCTCTTCTTGGTCAAATGCAGACCCCAGAATAAAGCTAGAATTATCTGCTCCACCCCTGCTCAAGTTAGGTGTCTCTTAACCCCGTTGAACAGGGCTGAAAGTTGGGTCCTGCCTGCAGGTTAGAGATTAGAACATTGCACGTGGCTTTAGCAGCAATTTCCCATTCATTTTTCTTGCTTCTTGCAAAGTACAGCAGTGGGAATCCTTGCTAGGGACAGGCATTCAGCCTGAGTTTTTACAGCATTCACTTATCAACATGTTTTTTCATTCATCCATTTGGGACTTTGGCCTAAGCATGTATTAGGCATTTTAGCCCTGTAGTAAGCAATGGATCAGAGGGTTTTACCAAGAGCTTATCATATACATACCTCACAGACAGTGATGGTGGACTGCCTATATGTATGTTTGTGCTTATCTATTTAACCAAGTTGAAGTAAGGGACTTTGTACCCAATTTCCAGAGGGAAAGGAAAGAGAAAGGCATAGAGAATGAGGACCTTTAGTGCAGGCCATTGGCATCAAGGGCTTCTGCTCAGGAATGTGCCAACCTTGGTTGCTGCTGCTTCACTTTCCACCCTCACGTGTCTGATCCTTGAAATGCTTGCCTGAGAGGGGGAGGTGGCTCCCTCGTGGAAACCTGAGTATGTACTTGAGCCTTTCCCAACATAAGCCCTCTGATTTCTGAGCAACACGGTAGACGAGTGGTTAGAGGAGGCTCCCCAGAACATGGCCAGGTCCCGGCCATCAGTTCCTTAGCAAGTCTTTTCTTTGGCCATCTTCTCATTGAAGTTTTTCCATCTGTGAGAAAGTAAGCTTAATCCTATAAATGTAGGAAAAACACATTGCTGTCTTTCGGTAACAGGCTCTCGATTATCCACATGAAGCGGTAATACTGCCTTGTTCTTTCATCACCTCCTGTCCCTCTTAGGTTATTTTAGAGCCCTTTGCCACTTATCTCATTTATTATCTTAGTAACCCAAATCGAGGTGAAATTTGAAGAGGAATCAAAGAAAGACTTCTCTTAAATTCCATGTCTGTTTCCCCTTTCTTTGGGGAGGTTAGAAAGAGGACCTGAGCCACCCAAGTGGCTATAGAAAAGAGAACTAGTATACTTTACCTTTGGTTAGATGTGGCAGACGGCTCCATTTGACATCGTGCAGTTCAGGAGTGAGGGTCTTTCACTCCCAGGCCACCTGCATCAGCATGTTTCCCCAGTGCTAGTGGTGGACCCCAGACCTCCTCTAGGTGGTTTTGGATACATTGTTGTATCTGAGTTAAGGTGGCTGATTCCCAGACGTGTGATCTGATTGGTGCTCCACTTTCTACTCACCAAGGCCTCCAGGCTGCCCTGCTCAGCAAGGTGGGAGTGCCCCCATTGACCCTCCTCCAGTCCATGAATCTCCACACCCTCCCCTGCCTGCCACTGAGCCAGCTTCTCGGTTATCCAGTGAGGAGGGAGAAGGCGATGACAAAGAAGAGTCTGTTGAAAAACTGGACTGTCATTATTCAGGTCATCATCCTCAGCCAGCATCTGTAAGTTCCACATCCACCCCGCGTTGACCCTTCCCATGCAGCAGGGACAGGGCACTGCAGGGGGGCGCACCACGGACCTTGGCATGCCCGTTCCTGTGGGGATGCCGTCAAGGTGTGAGAACAGCTCAGAACAGGGTGCCCCAGGGGCAGCATGCACCCTGTCCAGGGACGTCTCATGCTTTTCCCTTTCTTTTCATAAAACTCAGGGCTAGGCATTGTCACTCTCATGCTTCACAGCCTCCGGTACTCAGAGTAAGCTGTGCTTTCATGGTTAGCTCCTTTCCTGAAGGAGAGAGTGCTCGCTGGGTGCGTCATGTCAGAGTCAGCAAGCACATGCAGTTTTGCTCTCTCTTGCAGTTTTGCACATTTGGGAGCCGGCAGATTGGAAGAGGCTATTACGTGTTTGACTCCAGGTGGAACCGGCTTCGCTGCGCCCTCAACCTCATGGTGGAGAAGCATCTGAACGCGCAGCTGTGGAAGTAAGTGCCTGCCCCACCACTGCTGGGGTGAGGAGAGGGGCTCACTACTCACTGCTGCATCCATGTTTCTCGTGAGAGTGATTTAGTGAAGGAAAGCTTATCTCAAATGAATAGGGCCATGACTCACCCTGAGAAGAAGGCCCCTCATCATTTATTCATTCATTCACTATTTCATTAAATATGTCTTGTTCTGGGCACTGTCGTTCAGGCAGAGGAACTCCCAAATGTATGGAGATCACATTCTAGTTCTGAGGAGAAACACAAAAACCAATAAAGAGGGGCTGGCCCAGTGGCACAGTGGTTAAGTTCACACGTTCCACTTTGGCGGCCTGGGGTTCGCTGGTTCGGATCCCAGGTATGGACATGGCACCGCTTGGCAAGCTATGCTGTGGTAGGTGTCCCATATATAAAGTAGAGGAAGATGGGCACAGATGTTAGCTAAGGGCCAGTCTTCCTCAGCAAAAAGAGGAGAATTGGCAGCAGTTAGCTCAGGGCTAATCTTCCTCAAAAGAAAAAAAAACCAACAAAGAGAGATTATAGCTTGTCATAAGGGAGATAATAGATGTAGTGATAATCTCTAACACTTACTGAGGGCTCACTGTGTGCCAGGCACTTATTAAATGTATTAAATTTTCACAATTTGCTGTGTCAGATGAGCTTGATTATCCTTATTTTCCAGATAATGAAACTGAGAAACAAGGTTGCACAGCAAAGTAGTGGTAGGGCCAGGATTTGGACCCAGAAGGAGTTCGATTCTAGAGAGCTGAGATGGGAAAATAACAGGCCAGAGGGATTTAGGGAAAGCCTCTGTGAAGAGGCGGCCCTTCAACTGTGATGGCTGGATGAGAAAGAGCAGCCACAGGGTGGTGGGGAGTAGTGGGTTCCAGGCAGAGGGAACTGTGTTTGTGAAAGTCTTGAGTTAGAAAAGAATGTGGCTTGTTTGAGAAACAGCAGGAAAGTGAGTATAGTATGAGATGAGATCCGAGAGGCCAGCAGAGGCCCGGTGACACTGGAATTGGTGTTGAGTGCAGCAGGGAGCTGTTGAGGGTTTATGTGCTCTGATTTACAATTTAAGATAAAGTGATCAACAAGCTAGTGTTTACCAAACAGGATCGTAGGTGAAACAAGGGTTCCACGGCCAGGAGGGTCTCAGCCTCTCCTGAAGTAAAGCAGTTTTCATTGCTGCAGGACTGCTTGGGGCCTTTAATGGGTAGTGTCCATTGTAACTCTCACTGCATGGGGTATCATGTAGAATGTAGAATGTTTCCCAAGCTCTTTTGACCTGGGAACCTTTTTTAGGGGAGCATCTTGGGGAGCTAGTTTTTGGTGGAACCTTCTTTGGGAAACATTGAGATTTGCTAAAGGGGACTAGCCAGTAATCCATGGGTCATCCCAGATCCTCCATTGGGGCATCATTTACTAGTGCCTCCTTGAATGGACTCTGCCAGTACATCTGTTTGCCTCCTTGCCTTGGTTTCCTAATAAAGTCAGAGGCTTTGGGTAGTCCACAATCCAAAGAACCATCTCCATGATCATTAATAGGACTTGTGTTTGTTCACTTCAAAGACCAGACCCAGAGCAGTGTTACTCTGCTTTTCTGGTTCACATTTCTTCCTGGCTCTTACTAGATAAGACACTCCTGTTCCTTCTTAATGAAGGAACTTTGTCCCTTTCCAGAGACTGACTCAGGGCAGTGGTTTGTTGGGCCGCTGGGGGTCTGTCAATACTCACCCACCCCAAGATATATGAAATCTCAGGTGGTTATTTCTTCAGACTACCTGGTGGGATGTGGAGAGCTCATTGAGATCACTAAACTACTGGCATAGCGTACTCCTAAGAGTTTAAAAGGTCCTCGGAATATTTCATCCCCATTACATTGAAACGTGGCTTATGACCAATAGTTTGGGTGAAGATGGTTTTGGTCCTTAGTGGCTCGTGTGGAGAGCTTTTCTTCTTTGTGCTGAGAACTTTTGAAGAAGCAGGATCATGAGATTGACTGCATTGTCTCCTTCTCTGTTCTGTCAGAGGCTGACTGCCTTATCAATCACTTGCTCCCAGCAAGGAGGACACCATTCCTTTCCGTTAACATGAGCTTTGGTTTTAAAAAAGTCATTACAGCAGAGACAGACGTGTTGTTCAGTGGTGAGCTGGAACACAGGCTTGGGACAGACAGGAGCTTGGAGAGAGGTGCTGGGCCAGGTACTCAAGGAAATGCTCCCTGACACAGGAGTGAGGTAGGCCGACTCAGGTAGCCCCTGAGATTTGCTGGGAGTGGTTGAGCATTTCTCAGCCAGAGGAGAACTCTTCTCAGGTAGCATCTTTGAGGCACTCAAGAAAACCCTCAAAGTGGTCCAGGTCCCACCCTGCCAGCTCAGCCAAGGAAGAGCCCCAGTTTGGGCAGCACTCTTCTTGGCCCCTTTACCCTTTAGTTGCTTATTGTGGTTAATTTGGGGATAAGTGGAAGTGGAATTTGAGTATGACCATGAAATAAATCATCTTCAGTGTCTGGTCAACTGCTTGCCCACTGTTGATTTGCAATCACTATCCCCTGAGGAGGGGCTGGGATGGTTATCAAAGGGTTTTTTCGTTTGGGTGTTTTTTGTTTTTAATTTTTTAGATTGATAAATTTAACTTTTTAGATTGTGTTATGCAAACACAAGTCCGTGTATGACAATATGTATGACTACATATTGTTTGTCTCTTCTTTATGCAGAAGGTAATGACTTAAAAGAGCTTAAGAGGAACCAATAGCTTAGTCCAGAGAGGTCACATCCCTTCCCCTATGGAAGCCTTTTCCTTTTCCCAGGATTTGGTTCCAGCAGCCTGGTCTTTAGGCTCCATCTTCCTAAGAGGCCACCTGGTGGCCACAAGAAGCCACTGCGCCCAGTAAGCGCAAGCACCTGTACTTCATGGAGAGCAGGGCTTCTCCAAGGTGCCAGTGCCCATGACTCGCCTGGAGATCTTGCTGAAACACAGATTCTGGTGAATCTGTAGGTCTGCGGTGGGGCCCAGGGACTCAGCATTCTAACAAGCCTCTCAGGTACTATCAGTGCTTGTCCTCCATGAGTAGCATGGGGATAGTGCCCGGCTTCTCAGTCTTGGATTTGTGTTGGAATCTCCTGGAGAGATTTCAAAATTATTAATGTACAGGCCCCAACCCCCAGGCATTCTAGTATAGTGGATCTGGGCGGGGCCTAAACTCCACAGGTGATTCTATTGTGCAGCCAAAGTTGGGAAGCCCTGACTTGTGGGCCAAGCTACATCCTTGAATGGGGGTTTTAAAGCTGGTGCAAACACTTGCAGCAATTAAGTCCTTTCATTAATACCTGTAGTTCTTCTGCAGAAGCATCTGAAAGCACTTTGGCAGCAGTCTGGACCAGCTCTTGCGCTGGAAGCTGAGGAATTAGAACCCTGCTGGTATGGTGACTGCATCAGCCAGAGCCGCCCGTGAAGTCAGGAGCAGGCAGGGTTGGCCTTCCAGGCAGGCCATTTTCTGTTTTGCCACCTCAGTGTTAATTCCATCATAAAAGTTTTTAAAATGTTGGTGGTGTCACATTTTAAAATCAGAGCTGAGATAAAAGGGGGAGCCTCCCTGGTTTGACTATTTGAATGGCTCCCTTACCCCAGATGGATACCCTGCCCAGACATTACTAACAGAATACCTTGTTCCAGCACTGCGACTGGAAATCCCCTGAAGATCTGGGGGCTTCATTCCCTTGTACAGTCATTTCGACCAGTAGTTAAGACCTAGCAGTTATTATTAGTCAACTGTGCCCTTCCTTTTTCCTCATTTGTTCATGAATTCTCTTGGCGTTTATTGAGTGCCTTCCTTCCGTATTCCAGGCACTGTGCTAGCCACTGGGGCTATGATGGTGAATAAGCTGTGGGTTGTTCCATCTACAAAGAAATTAGGCAGTGATCAACAATCACACATTGAAACCACCCTGAGTCCTCCGAAGTCTAGGAATGGGGGGCAGTGCAAGTCCATGGGGAACTGAGCAAGTCGGGATGATCAGGACAGATTTCCTAGGTGATGATGAGCTGAGACTAAAGGATGAGCGGAAGTTGGGGTCAGAGAGTTCTAGCCAGAAGATATACAGGGTCTACGTCATGGCCTGTTCTCAGAACTTAAGGATGATCAGCGGCTGGAATCAGGGATCTGGGGTGGGGGCTGGGAGCAGGGGCTATGAAGCTGGAGCAGTAGCACACAGGGCTTTACAGACCACTGTTCTGAGAACCCCAGGAAGGCATTAGGGGATTGAAGGAGAGAAGTGACAGAATTGGCTCTGCATTTCAGAGTGGTCACTCTGACGGGAGTGTGCTTCTCTGTGCCAGAGGCGAAGGGGTGTCCATCTAAAAGTTCCCATGAATGGCTGTGGTGAATATCTCTCACTGCCCTCTCCTTTTTTGCAGGAAAATCCCACCAGTGCCGAGTACCACATCACCTGTCTCCACACGTGTTCCTCACCGGACAAACTCTGTGCCGACATCACAATGTGGGGTCAGCTATCTGGCAGCAGCCACCGTGTCTACATCCCCAGTCCTGCTGTCCTCCACCTACATCTCCCCAAATAGCAAATCGGTACCAGCTCATGGAACCACATTAAATGCACAGCCTGCTGCTTCTGGGGCAATGGATCCTGTGTGCAGTATGCAATCCAGACAAGTGTCCTCTTCATCCTCATCCCCTTCCACGCCCTCTGGCCTTTCCTCAGTGCCCTCCTCCCCCATGTCCAGGAAACCTCAGAAGTTGAAATCCAGCAAGTCTTTAAGACCCAAGGAGTCTTCTGGTAACAGCACTAACTGTCACAATGCCAGTAGCAGTACCAGCGGCGGCTCAGGAAAGAAACGCAAAAACAGTTCCCCACTGTTAGTTCACTCTTCCTCCTCCTCCTCCTCCTCCTCTTCTTCTCATTCCATGGAGTCTTTTAGGAAAAACTGTGTGGCTCACTCTGGGCCTCCCTACCCCTCACCGGTAACAGCTTCCCACGGCATCGGCCTCAACTGTGTGGCAAGTAAAGTGAACTCACTGAGTGTCCGGCACGAGCAGTCAGGGAGGGGCCCCCCCGGCGGGAGCCCTGCGGAATCCATCAAGAGAATGAGTGTGATGGTGAACAGCAGTGATTCCACGCTTTCTCTTGGCCCATTCATTCACCAGTCCAGCGAACTGCCTGTCAACTCCCACAGTTATTCACACTCACACACTCCTCTCGAGAAACTCATAGGCAAGAAAAGAAAGTGCTCGCCCGGCTCAAGCAGCGTCAACAACAACAGCAGCAAACCCACAAAGGTTGCCAAATTGCCAGCCATGAACAACGTCCATGTGAAACACACAGGCACCAGCCCAGGGGCGCAAGGACTGACGAACAGTTCTCTCCTTCATCAGGTAGGAAATGGACTGTGAGCCCTGTGGGGAGGCCCATTTCCTCCTTGAGGTCTTTCGCCTGCTCGGAGATCTGTGTGGTTGGGGTTGGTTGGTTTGCCTATAAACAGATGTCCAGCTTCCTGGTGTCCTTTTAAAAAAAGGAAGAGTTCATGGCCATATGAAGGTAAAACAGGCTCCTCTCTGCCAGAATTTTGATGACTTGGAAGATGCTTTTGGGTCAGGAAACCACAGAGGTGCACTTTAGCAGATAGGGCTGCGGAAACCATCCCGTGTGACAGCAAAATCTCTCTCCAGAGCAAACGAGTATAGTGCCTGGTGGACATGTGCTTCCTGTGATGCTGTTCCGGAGGGAAGCAGAACAGCTTTCTAGTATGTTCCTCTGAAGAAAGCTAAGCTAAAATCAAACTGATCTAGAAAGAGATGATTTAAATTTTAAAAAGCAAGAGCTTTTAATATTTTTCCCATCAAGGAATTTCAGATTTTCTGGTCAACTCTCTCCCTGTAACTATATTTTCTCCTCTAAGTTTTCCAGGGAAGCAGGAAAACAGCATTAAGTGTGGGCATCGCAGAGGACTAAAATCTCATTGAAGTTGTGATAGATTAAAGAGAAATCTGAGCATGGGTCCATTTGTAGAGAAGTGGCTCACTGTGTGTCGGACTTCTCTCTCACACTGAATCTGTCTTTCCCCCTCTTCTGCTATTACTGTCTTCTCCCAACCTTCTCTCCTGTAGCCGTTTCTTCCAGCTTCCTCTACTCTTAACTTCCAGCTCCTCTCTCATCTTATTTCATTCGTCGGGATATCTTCTCCCCTTGCTTACGAGCAGGAATTTCAGCGGCATCGTCCCAGAGCCCTGATTTAAAATGTGAGGGCTTTTTTTGATTCTTTTCTTTCCTCGTCTTCAGAATTTAACTCAAATGCCAGGTAGGACTTTTTCAGAAAATACCAAGAAGTTTCTTACTGTGATATAATTTCCCTCCAATATCTGTGTGAATTAATGCCCAATGCCAAAGGTATGGGGAAAATAATTATCCATGAATTTAAATAGCAGCTGCTTAAATTCTTCTGTGTGAGCCACAAATCCCACAAATCCACACTGGCTGTTTGACTCTTTGAGCAAGGGGTTCCTGGACAAGTGACAGTGTGTGTTTACTTCCTGGTTTATAGTTCCTCATGATAGTTTACGATGAGCATAAAAAGGCAATGCAAACACCATAAGAATGACAGACCCATCCCTTAAAATCTCCCTCCTGCGTGCAGCGTCCTGATTCTCCTGGAACCCCGCAGGAGGGACGTTCCATTGTGTTGTGATGCCCACGTTTGTATGAGTGTGCTCTGTCTTCACGTGGACTTGGCTGCAGACCTTACCACCCACAGCAGCAGAAAGGGGAGGAAGAAGCTGGCCGGGTGCAGCTGAGAGGAACAGTGTCTGTGGAAAATGGGGGAGTGGGAGCCCCATTTACATGGAGCAGCTGCTCCCAGAAACTTAACCAGTTTCAGAGGGAAACTGCAGATCTGGACTTGCATGAGAAAGTCAGCCATTTTCTTAAGCTGTATAGCTTTTTGTGGTATTTTTTAATCTGGTGTAGCCCACACATCTGTTGGCTAAGTTGGGCTCATGAGCTACGAGTTTGCCACCTCCGATTTCTACCATTTGGGGGGCTGTATCCCACTAGGACCAACAGCCTAAGTTTCAGTTCTTTTCCTTAAAATTAGTTTCAACTTAAGTTCGTATTTGAGAAAGATTTCCTCTGTGCAGTGGAATACTTTTCGTTATGCTGCACAAATCCTGGAGAGGGGCATGGCTAGAGATCAGAGGATCAGCAAACCCCCCAAAAAACTGTTGCATAGTTTTGTGTCTGTGCTCATTTATCTGCAAGAGGGATCCTGTGGCTTTCATCAGAATCTCAAAGGGACCCAAGACTCCACAATGCTTTAAAGAATGCTGCTCTTAGAAAAGTAGGCACCTCAACTTGCTGCTCCTCCTGGAGCTGATTTTAGGACAGATAACTGAGCTGGTTGAAGCTCCCTTAACAAGGGAATGCACTGGGACATGCTGGGAAGCTAGGAGATGAGGCTGGGCAGTTGCCCTCTTCCCTACCCCCCTGCCAGTCTGTTCATGGCCTCTGCCACCAAGGACTTAAAAATAGCTCCCTGTGGGACAGTGAGGGCCAGAGCTCCCTCTCCCTGAGGAGCACTGCCTCGGGTGTGAGCTCTCACACCTGTGTGTGCCAGCCCATTTGACCTTGTTCAGTTCTCAGTTGACAACCTAGAATGCCTTCAGGGAAACAAAATCAGTAAATAAAACCAAAAGGCAAACCCTAAGCCTTTTCTCTAAGCTAGAAACCTGGCCTGGCATCTCACCTAGACAGTTGTCTCAAAGTCAGTCCTTTAGAATGATTTTGCTCAAGGGCAGTGAAGGCTTTTGAAAGCTAAGGCCAAATTCTGTAGCTGCCTCTCCTGGCATCACCCAGTCAGTGGAGATGTCAGTGGTGTGTGGCCTTTGGAATATTCTTGTTTAGCATCAGCGCAGTGCAGTGTACAACCGCTGACTTACCTTTTTGTTGTCTCCCCACCCCTCTTTTTTGAAAGCCAAAGGCACGTCCCTGACAGCTGAAAATAGTCCGGGGAGGAATAATCTGGACACTTTTGACGACAAGTTACACCTCCACTCAGCACTCTGGACTCCACGATGCCTTTGAGTCTGTTTTCCCAACCTCCTGTGGGCCTCAAGGGTAGAAATCTGCTGGGCTGTTGTTTTAACGAGGATTTCCCTGAAGCTATGTCTGTAGCAGTGAGTACTCGTAAAGGACACTGGATCAAGTTCAGCCACCGAATTGCTTTTCTCAGTGTTACAGTGGTCTGGACTGCTTGCTGCCGAACTGTGAGAAGTTGTTTTGTCTTTAACTTGCAGTCTATCACGGAGCCACTCTTCCAGGAGGTCGGCTGGGCAAAGAATGTTTCGAGAAGAGCGTTACTGTAGCCTTTTCTCCCTCCCTCCTCTCCCCCCTCAGGTCCCTTTCACACTGTCTTCTGTGGGTCACTCTCCAGCTTTAGGCCCCTTAACTGGAGACACCTTCTGAAGGAGAGCAGGGCTGCACGGAGTAACCCTCTGGAGAAGGGGATCTGTCGTTAGGTGTTTATCAATGTTCCAGGAATGAATGTGGACGTTAGTGCAAGGCACCATCACAAAATGGCCAGTATTTTTTCTCGGCCTTTTGTGAGTAATTTGGGATAAGAAGCTCTCAGAAGTTTCTAACTTACAAACTACTTTAAAGCCATTGATGCCCATAGAGCAAGTATACATCATTTTAGAGGCTTACTTTTCATGGGATAAAAGCAATTCTGTGTGATTTTTTTAAAAAGAAAATGCAAATGCAAGCTAGTTTTGATAATGGAAAGCCAAATTTTGGTGGGAGGGGGTGGATAAAATCACTACAGGGGGAAACATTTTTCCAAGATTTCCAAAGAGATGGCGTTTTTTACCCTTTAAGTCTTCATGTAAACAGTGTGGCAGATTGGGCTGGTTGTCCTGCCCAGTCTCCCATTTTAAAAAAAATTGCCTTTGTAAAGTGAGGTGATTAGGATGCAGCAGAAACTGTCATTCACAGAGTCATTAATCTATTTAAATGTTTCCAGGCACTCTGTATTACCCTTGATCTCTCCTCTTTGGACACTATCCTGGGTCTTTGTGTAAATTCCTCTCTGAGCACTCCCCATTGTGTGTGTGTGTGTCCGCACTCCCCTTCCTGCCACCACAGGTGTTTATGTGGATGCCGTTGGGGTGGGGAGCAGGCCCCCAGGGAGGGGAGGTAGCGCAAGTGTACCTGTCCTGTGTGGCAGAGGTAATGTGATGCGTGTATAGTATTTCTCTGACACACCCTCTTTTCTGGGGATTAATGCCAGCCGTCTTCCTAAGAGAGTTTTGGAGACCCTCCGGGATGTTTTTTCTAGTACCCCACCCCAAAAGAAAGAACTTACTATGTTAAAACATTGTTGCTTGAGAAGGTGTCATTGAACGTGAAGCTGGGGCTTTTTAATAGGTGATGCCACAACCACAGCTCCTGGAACGAGAACTGGGCTCTTTTGCTTAGGAGAACGTATGAAGTTGCCACACACAGGGTCAATTCCCAAAGCTCTGATCATCGCCCCGGTCAGGGCCTGGACAGAGCCAGTCTAGTGCATCCTTTTTTCCCTGCAATTCTTGGGTTACAAACTTCAGTTTCAGGGAATTTCAAGTCAACAACAGGTAGAATGAATAAATACTTGGTTACCAGCCTAATAATGTGAATTACTACAGAATTATTCTTATTATGTAAGAAAGCAAAAACATTATGCAGATACTTTAGCTATAAATTGATGTAAAATCTTGATTTTTTTAAAGGAAGGGGAAACAGTATCTTGTTCACTTATTATGCAATCAATCAGTAAATGTTTCTTAAATGATGCTATAAGAGAGCTTAGGAAGGAGAGCACGGATGGGCCGGTTCGGTGGAGTGAGGAGAAATCAGTCTGATTGTTCCTTCCCACTGGAGGGAGAGGAAGGAGGTAAGAGGGAATCAGAACGTCCTTAGTTTGATTCCTTGGTGACAAGTGCAATGGGGTCTGGGTAGAATTTATTTTCAGAGCCAAGGGGACTTGATGGTTATAAATAAAGTTGCTTTTAGCGATGGAATTTATAGACAGATCATGTTGTTCCGAAAGATGTGAATAGGATCCACAATAGCAAGTTGATTCAGAGTAATGTAGATATTTAGATTATCGAGTATTGATCATTTGATTTCTTAGACTGAGGTTTTAATTGAATTTGATTATGTCTCCCAGTAGTACACAGAGCATCGGGATTAGGAAATTAGCCATTTGGAATTCTGCCTGCCACAAACAGACCTATTCTAAACAGTGCTATTAAATTTTAGACTGTTGTTCAAATATTTTATTTTCTCCTACAACTACTTTTTATTATGATGAACAATTAAGACCATTTAAAACACGGGAGTACAAGTATTTTTTTGAATTAAATTAACTTGCAAAAACCAAATTTGCAGTGGTTGGGTTGTTTCTAGACAGACTTTGGTATCAATTTAAAACCAAGATAATTTTTATATTCTTTCCAATAGAATTTCATGACAACAACTGCAGTTTTCTTAACCTACAAAAAAAAAAAAAAGTGCTGCAATGATGAACAAAGAATTATACAAAACCTACTTTTGTATCTTTATTTTGGAATTTCTTGTTCTATTATAAATATGGAAGTATCCCTATTTCAGAAGACATATTTTGTTAAAAATGAATTGTACATATTTAAATATGTATTTTTGCACAGGTCTTTTTTTCTGATATCCTGTTTTGGTACAATTGAGATCATCTAGTATTTATTTATTAATTAATAAAAGTAAATACCTTTTTATAATTTGAAGTGGTTCACTGCCAAGCCGATAGTCCTAGGACCTGCCTCCTTCACAGTTGAAGGTTTGCCTCTGTGAAAGTGAAAGCCGTTTTGTCCCTTTAATGTCCCGGGAGTGGATTCAGACAGATGAAGTGGGCATTGCTTCTCCCTAGTTGCCTGATTTCCCGATAGACTACATGTAACTAAGTGACACACTGCTTTTCTTTTGTTAGTGTTTTGTGTGTGAGTGTGCGTGCGCGTGCGCCTGTGTGTGTGTATGTGTACCCTCTGAGCACATGTGTGTTCGTATGTGATGTGGTTTAAAACTAATGGAAACAAACTGAAAGTGCCTGAACCTAGTTTTAAGCTTAGACAGATTCTCTTTAAAAAGACTTGAATGTTCAGTTGAACTTTTGGAGTTTGCTTTTTCCACCTAAATATTGTTTCTAAAATTTTAGGGGAGGAATTGAAAACCACCAATGCTGGTAATTTTATAAGGTATTTTAAAATTCAGACCTTTTGGTTCCCAGTAATTCAACTAGTGATGGATTGCCCCGTGGCACCAAGGGTTACAAATCTTTTTGTCAGCCAGCAACTTACACAATGTGTCCGTTTTGTTACTCACTCATGAAATACAGAGTTTAAAATAGAATATTTAAAATATTTTGTATTCCAAAAATATAATACAAAGTACCTCTGAGGACATTGAAAACAAAATGTATAATTTGAAAAATGTAACTTAAACAGGCAGCTGTCTTCCTGCAAGAGTTCTGTTGCCAAGCGGTTTCTTAATCTCTCTCATCTGTCCTGGGGGATGAAGTTGGACTTTGGAAAATGATTGTTAACAGTTTCATTGTTTAGCAGAAAATAATCATTTTTACATTTTGTGCAAAACATTTTACATTTTCAGATCATTTAAATGAGCACTACATACTGTCAGTGTGAATGTAGGGCCTTGAAAGCATTTTGCTGTTTTTCTTTGAGCTTGGTTATAAAAGCAATCTCCTGTGTTAAAATGTGTGAATAGTTTGATAATTTGTACACATAATCAAGAGCATCTCAGCTGGACTTTGTGTTGGCTGCTGTATAGAACATGAACAAATGTCAAGGGATAGAAAATTACTTTGGATATTTAAAAGAGAAGAAATATATAGTCTATTTGTTTTGTAACAAGTTTCTGTAAATAAAATAATTTATACTATTTATAAGAAAAAGTTGTGCTTTGCTTTATGAGAAATCAGTTTGTGGAACAAACATGTTACTAAACGGGCAATAAAATGAGGACTTCTCAATAAATAAGGTGGCTGCATGAACTGTTTCACACGTTTCTGCCTCGTTATGGTACTAACCCTTTCGGTCCAGTCTGACTTGTCTTCATTTTAGGCATCAGACACCTTGTGAAGCACCTTCCTTTAGCTTCCCTTCTGTACAAGCTCAGCCCTTCTGAGGACTCAGGATGTTTCCATTCTTGTGCGGAAAGCTTTGCCTTGGATAATGTAGTAACTGCAGACAGTGGACACTACTGCATTCTTGCCCTGCAGGTTTGTCAACAAAGGGGAGTTGATAGATAGAGAAGCACGGTCTATTTGTACTTGGCTTATATGTAAATTTGATGGCCTGAGGTCAATTTTGGTTAGAGGTAACATTTTTATGCAGAGCTGGTCTGATCTCTTCTCTGCTTTTACGTAGCTCCCTCACTGGCAGTACACGTGCCTTTGAGTATTATTCAGAGCACAACATAATCTTTTATCTCTAGCTATCTGGCCATTTTTACCATTTGCAAATAAATTATTCTAATAAATTACAAATTATTTTTGTTGCTTAAGATAATAAGGGAAGCAACTGATTTGTGTATTGGAGATGTCCATACATTGCATGAAAGAATCAGGCTGGCTTCAACCCTCACTGCCCCCTGGACATTCCCTCCTTAGGTCCACCAACTACTCAAATCCATTCCTAAGAAGCTCCCTGAGGCCTCCCTGAAGCAATCCTGTCGCCTTGGATGTCCTTCTTAAACTTCCGGGGAAAAGTCGCAACCACTCAAATCTTCCTACACTTTTTACTTCCATTCTCTTGCGGGTAACCTGGCCACGGATGTAGCAAGAGACTGTCCCAATTCAAGGAAGGGGCAGGGATGGGCAGTTTAGGGTCTTGGTGGATGGAAGTTCACCAACAGAAAGGCAGAGTAAGGTCATTGTAGGCAGAGGGGCAAGCACAAGTATGAAGAAATGTGGAAGAGAGAATAATTCTGGGTGAAATTTGCTGGAAGGGAGGGGCTGATAGGATTGGAGAAGTTTGTGCCAGATTGTCAGGGGACTTATGTATCGTGAGGCCTTCATCCTCAGGAACGTACAGCTTAACCACATGTAACTCTCAGAGCCCAGAGGTGTTCATTGGTCCAGTCCTGGCACAGTGCAGCTGCTCAAAGTAAAAACCGTTCTCTACTGGAGACTGGAAAATCAAAGAGGCACTTCAATCTTTTTCCCTTTTTCTTGCATTTTCACTCTCTATTGCCTCAAACCTCTGTCTTTAGCCCTCTCTAATCCTAAGCAAAAACACTCCCCTAAATCAAGCCTCCAGCCCTCCGTCGTCTTACTCCACTTTCTGCCCTTTCAGTCCCCCCTTTCTAGTAAGAAACTCATGTTTCTGTTGCTAATGCGAATTAAACTAGTCTTTCACCTTGTAAGGCTGTGATTCTTGGTGCCTCTTATCCTCGTTTTTCACCAAAGCCCATGGACCAAAGCTGGCACTAACAGAGTCTCTCTTCCAGGGGAAGGTGAGACTGTCAGCAAAAGAAAAAGTTTTCAGGGGGAGAGGAGAATCAAACACTTAGAATTTATACTTTAAAAACAAAAATTCCCATCACATAGGGCCCTTCAGTAACCATGGAGGACAGAATGGACAGGTGAGAACCTTGGGACAAAAATAAGTTACAAAGCTAGTGTAATAATCCAGGTAAGAGCTATGAAGTTTCTCAACTAAGGCAGTGACCATGGGGATGAAGAGGGGACTGATTGCAGAGTTCTTTGAAAGGTAGAACCAGCAGGCCTTGAGGTCCAATCATGTCGAACGTTAAGGGGAAGAGTGAGTCTAAGAAAACTTAGAGATTTTCTGGCTTGGCTGAACTAGTTGATGAGCTTTAAGTGAAACATATGATGTGGTGACAGAAAAGGAAAAACACAATGGGTTTGAGTTGCTGGTGGGAAATGCAGGCTCAGTGCCCGGTAGCTGTAGGTACAGTCTGGATGGAGCTCTGGAGGGAGGTTTGAGCTGTAAGGTAGAGTTAAAGGATTGCCTTTCACTTTTTGCTGGCGAGTGAGGCCATGGGAGGGGATGAGTTCACCTAGAAAGAAAGAGATAGTTATTAGAATTGGCTTATTATTTTGTTAAAATGATGCTTATCTAGTTGCCTTAAAATGCCAGATATTATACCAAGCTTTTTACACATATTGTCTTTCTTACAAAGCCCCTACAGACTGGGTATTTTGATGTTCTGATATCTGATCATCTTCTGATGAGGAACTTCTAAGAGGGTAAGTGTCTTGCCTAAGGTCCCACAACAAGTAGGTGGCTTTGCAGGGCTGTGAATTCATCTGATCAGGGGTTCTTAATCTTTTTTGTGTGTCACATATTCCAAGAATCACATGAAAAAAGGCACAGGCACACGTTTTATGTTCCATTTCCAGGATTTCACAAAACTTGAAAAAGTCCATCCTCCAAGGTGCAGAGACAGAAGAAAGCCCAAGACGAAACCCTGGAGAAGAGAATGTTTTGGTGAAGCCAGACGGAGAACCAGTACTAAACAGTAAAATATCAGGTCAGGGAAGGCAGAGAAGGATGGGGTTGAGATGGTTTAGTTAGCAGTTTAGACAGTTGATTTCATCCTAATTAACCCCATCAACTCACTTAGGTAATGTGCTTTTTCCTCTGCTGCTTTCTCCTTGATAATTGGAACAACAGCTATTGATTGAGTGGGAAAATGAGAACTTGGCAGGGAGATTGCCAGAGAAAGAGTATGAGTGAGGGTGTGGCTGAGTGATGATGGCTAGATGGGTATTCAGGGACGAGAACCGGAAGCTACCATGCGGAATCTATGCGGGCACGCTCATGATGGTTCATTTGTAATTACCGTCTTCTTATGCCTTAGGATTCTCCTTCCAGGTAACTTGTCTATGATTGATTAGACAAGTAAAGTGATTTCTTCAGGATCACAGAGCAAAGTCCATATGCAATTCAACATGCCCAATAATGAAGAGGGGCTAACATACAAGGCAGCTCGAGGGACCAGAGTTAGGATGGTGGCATAGCACTTTTAGGAATAGGTCGGGAAACAGAGGCATAGGATAATAGGATAGAGTGGAATTCCCGGTTTCATCTTCAAAAGCAGAGCAGTTCAGAGGTTCGTGTGATTCCTGGGTGAGACCATGGAAGAGGTGTGGAGAGAAAGAGCACTGGTGTTAAGGTTAAGGAACTGTGAAGCTCTTTTGTCCATTTGAGAGTTGCCTAGGGTTGAGAGCCGGTCCAGAGTGAATGGGATGGGATAACTTGGAGGTTTGAGGGCAGTGACCACAGTGAGTTGGTGGTATTGCTGGATGATAAGCAGCTTCAAAGAGAAGGCATTTTGAATGAGGGTGGAAACACAAGGGTCAGGAGAGCAGGGGACTGAGAGTTTCAAGAAAAGCAGTCTTCAAAACCCAAGTGTAGAGTTTTATCAGCATTGATATTCCAGTAGCTGCAGAGACACTTTGGAAAAACAGGTCTCTGGTCACCTCTAAAAGAGAGGGTCGGTAAAGACCGGCAGTCTTGACTGCGGGGTCCCTTCCTCAAGGCAATCTCAGGATTTATGATGGTGGGCTTGAAACCTGGTCATTCCTTGGCAAACTGTCCCTGACTTCTTACATCCAATCTGAACAGGAAAACTTCTGCCATTACGAGAGATTTCTGAATGACAAGAGGTAAACCTCCCCCTTGACCATGTACTTCAAGGTTACAATGGCCTGAACCAAACTTCTACAAATTCTTGATATCCTTTGTAGGTCTTCAGAAACACAAGAGGAATGCAAACCTGTATGGCTTTGAAACCAAAACCAGTGATTATTAGAGCATTTCATGTTTTCCAGATGATAGGGATGTAACTTGACACCCCCCCCCCCCCCACCCCCACTGCCATTGCGGAAGGATGAGTTTGTTGCTAACAACTACAGGTCTGCACAGCATTAGGAAAGTGAAGGATTATCACAGAATGCTGTGGGGGGCATCAAAATTGGTCACCCCAAAATGTGTCTCTCTGCCTTGATAGAACAAAAGGCTGAAAGAAACTTTGAACTTTCCCCTAACTGCCTAAAAGAATTTAAGAAAAAAGGCCTGTCCTGGGACAGGCCATCACCATTGCTATCTCTGGGTATTGGCAGACTGTGAGTGTCCTTGCTGAGCCCATTCTTATCAAAGTCTGTTCACCAAACGTTTGCTTTTCCATCTCCATGGGAATTGCCTTCCTCCACTTTGAAGTCCCGAATCACTACCTCCAATACCCTCCTTTGTCTTTAGCTGAAGATGCTATTTAAGATGACCACCTCAAGCCAGTTTAGCAAGTCACCCAGTTTCCTGGGTTTCTCCCATGTATACATGTTATAAAGCTTTGTTTGATTTTCTCTTGTTATTCTGTCTCATGTCTATTTAACTCGTAGCCCAGCCAGAAGGACCTAGAGGGTAGGGGAATTCTCTTCCTCTCCTACAACTGCTTTACAGTTTGTAGTGTTTCCACATAAATGAACCTCATAGTAAGCCTGATTTTCTACTCCACTTTACAGATGAGGCAGTAGGCTCGGAGAGATGAAGGAGGTAATTTCTCCCAACATCAGATGGCTAGGGGAGCTTGGACCAGAATTTGGTTTTCCTAGCTGCAGTGTCCAGTGCTATTCTCCCATACCATATGGCCTCATTTAAAGAAAAATCTATTGGATTCCAACTTTATTTTCACCTCCAAACTGATACTTGGAGGCTCAACACTGTGCCACTGGGATTTGTAACTACACAGAATAACTCTTGAACAGTATTTACTGAAGGCTGATTCTGTTTAAAATTACATATGAACAGGACTAAATATGGCGAATATTCATCAAAAATGTCAGTTAACAGGAGCTCTCTCTGCAGGGTAGAATTTCAAGGCAATTCCGCTTTAGCTGCTTGAATTTCTTTCGTAATGAGCATATATTACTTTTCAGAAAAAGAAAAGGAAAAATTGATCCCCTCGCCTTCAAGTTGTATTGTTTACTTCATCACAAGGTGTTATTCCACTAGCCCTTGAGCACCA